AGTGTCCTTCTTGGATATGGAAACGGTTCTTTTGAAAATCAAACAAGGTATTCAGTTGGCTCTTCTCCATATTCTGTAGCTATTGGAGATGTCAACAATGACACTCGACTAGATATCGTTGTCGCCAATTCGGGTAGCAATGATGTAAGTGTCCTTCTTGGATATGGAAACGGTTCTCTTGAAAATCAAACAAAGTATTCAGTTGGCTCTAATCCATCATCTGTAGCTATTGGTGATGTCAACAATGACACTCGACTAGATATCGTTGTTGCCAATGGGAACAGTTATGATGTAAGTGTCCTTGTTGGCTATGACAATATGGTTTTTGTAAAGCAAATGATACTAGTAACTGGAAACGGTTCCCAACCACAGTGGTTAGTGATTAGCGATTTTAACAATGATGATCTAATGGATATTGGCGTCATTAATTCACGCACCCATAATATTGATATTTTTCTTGGATATGGAAATATCTCTTTTGCAAATCAAATGACATATTCAACACATCCATATTTATCTCCATGCTCTATGACTGTCGGTGATTTCAACAACGATACTCGAGTGGATATCGTCTTTGTTAGTTGTGGGTCGGACAAGGTAGGTATTATTCTTGGATATGGAAATGGTTCTTTTGGAAATCAAATGGTGTATTCAACAAACTCAAGTTCGTCTCGATACTCTTTAGCTGTAAATGACATTAATAACGACACTATACAAGACATTGTCGTCGCGAATTATGATGCCAATTATCTAGATGTACTTGTTGGACATGGCGACGGCACTTTCGAAAGCATTATGCTAGTTCAGTTGGACTATGGTTCCAATCCATTCTTCATTGCCATTGGAGATTTCAATAATGATAAAAAACTAGATTTTGCCGTCGCCAATAATGGTACTGACAGTTTAAATATTCTCTTGCAGACTTGTTAATAATTTTATCGTGTACTTTTTATTTTTCTATCGCTTACTTATTTTGTATGCTCTTATATTTAATAGAATCATAGTTGAAATATTCAAATGTTTCTAGGTGAGAAAGATGAGTGGGGAAAGCTTGAGTTTGGTTGTGGAGCCCTGATGATGTAGGCCTTAGTGTATGGTTGAGAGTATGAATGATTGTCTGCCAGTATTGATCTGACTGTAGTAGAAAAGCATCTAGATCGATATTCACATCCCACAAAAACTTTTATTGCATCAATAACGAGTGCCATGATGAAATCTATCGCAACGAGGAAATTGATTATTACGTCGAATATTCAAGTTTATCGAACTTTTTAAGAGCCATTGTCTCGTGGAATGCAATCGTATTATATGCAGTTAGAGATCAACTCTTGCTTTATAGTAACCTAGTTCAATGTGACTCTATGAATATCATCAAATCACTATTATCTATTACATTCCTTGCTTGTTAATGATGATTATCAATACCATAATGTCAATATGTGCAAGAGAAACGATCGTTTCTTGGATGTAGGAAATTAAAAGTTCAACCTGCAGTTATGTTCATTGAAGGATGTTTGTGTGGATGCCGAATGGTGGATGAGATTCTTCACCACACCCGCTAATCCATGCACAATTGAACATCGATCAATTTCAATGATGATCACGTTGTTCTGTTGAATAATATAGGTAAACTACTCTACTGACGGTGTGAGTGTGTGAGTGTAGGCACTGGATTAAGAATAACACACTCACACCCAAATCGTCTTGATCAACCGCCTTGTCCACAACACGTATTCGTCGATCGAAATCATTCAGTGTACGTGTCTGATTCTGGAAATGATCATATGATGAAATGGATGGAAGATGTAAAAGAAAGACAATGCCATGACTGATAGCCAAGGAGAAGAAAATGATTTTACACAATTGTCATATTCAAAATGAATCGTTGTCGATCAATTGGACACTGTCTATGTGCCTGATACGAGGAATGATCAAATCATGGATTGGCCCAAAGGAGCGACACAGGGAAGTGTCATTGTTGGTAGAAACGGTAGAGTAGGACAATTCAACCAATCCAATGAGCCCATCGGTTTGTCATTCGATTGACATGACAATCTCTGTGTGTCGTCGATTGGGGAAATCATCGGGTATAAAAATTCAATATAGAATCCAAGAAGTGAAGGATTAGAAAGCCAAAGAAAACCGTTTTTTTGTATGGTATACGCTCCAGACAATATACAAATGGATGCCCTACCGAAATTCTAGGAATCCTTGAAAAATTATAATAAAATGTACTCTACTAATAATGAACAAAATATCTAACCAAATTCAGTAAGATTCAACGCCATTTGTATGCAATGAATCCGAAATCTTAGAAACCTTGAAAAATTTCAATATATCCTGTTCATTAAAAATGAATCAAAGTCATTACGAAAGTTTGTATTCAGATATTCCTGATACTGTCCAACGCTCAAAAAACTATAGGTTCTCTGGAAATCCTCGTTTCTTACATTGGTAGCGCCACTTTCGAAATGCATGAGAAACCTTCGAACCCTTGAACACGATCACTCTGGAAACAGTTTCCACCATTGAAAACATCAAGGAATCCTTAAATTCCTTGAAGATTCTAGCACAATCCACTTACAACATCAACAAAATATCTGACTAAACCCAGTATGATCCTACACTATTTGTACGCAAGGTTTTTGAAACCTTGGAAACCTTGAAAAATTTCGATATATACTATTCATTATAAAGCAATCAAAGTGATTAAGAAATTTGTTTTTTTCAGGTTTCTGATGATTTCTGCAACACGCCAATGTCTGCGAAACCAATGGTTCTCTAAAAATCCTTAGTTTTTTTTATTAAGTTTAACCGAACAAAATGCGATGAAATCTTTCAGATCCTCGGATTTCTTCACTTTACCACCAATCCTGATCGGTTAAAGTGCCAAGGAATCCTTGGATCCTGGTATTTCTTTGGTTTCCTATAACTCTTGACTGTTCAGAGCGCTAGGTAATCCTTGAAATCATTGGGTTCCTTAGCTTTCCCACCATTCCTCACTATCCTAAATGTTATGGCATCCTTGGAATCCTTCGGTTGGTTAGCTTTGCCACAACTTCTGACTTCAGAAAGTTTTCGGGATTCCTTAGATTTCTTAGCTTTCCCACCGTTCTTTACTGTCCCAAGTGCTATGGTATTGTTGGAATCCTTGGATTCCTTAACTTTTTCAACATTTCTGACTGTTGCAAGAGATAGGGAATCCTTCGAATCATTGGATTCCTTCTTTTCTCCAACATATAGACTGTTGAAAGTGTTCGGAAATCCTTGGAAACTTGGATTCCTTAGCTTTCCGACCATGTTCGATGGTTCCAAGAATGTGAAATGCTAGGAATTATTGGATTACGGAGTTGTCTGGCCATTCGTGACTGTTCCAAGTGCTATGAAATCTTTCAATTCCTCGAGTTGCGTATGTCTCCGACCATTTTCGAGTCTCGCAAGTGGTATGGAATCCTTGGAGTCTTTAGCTTCCCGGCATCTTCACTAGCCACAGATGGTGGAGAATAATTGTGATCGTTTGTTCCCTAACCTCTCGATCACTCTTGAGTGTCTCAAGTAGTATGAAATTGTTGAATTTCTTAGGTTTCCCAACACTTCTGAGTATTCAAAGTGCTAAGGAATCCTTAGAAACGTTGTATCCATTAGCTTCATTTGGATTCTGAAGTATCAGAAGTGCTATGGAACCATTGAATGGCTTCGATTCCTTAGCTTTCAGTTCATCGTGGACTACCACAAGCTGCACGGAATTCTTGGTATTCTTGGATTTCTTTGCATCCCGACCTGTCTTGACTATCCAGAGTGTGGTGCAATCCTTGGATGTTTTAGCTTTCAGACCATACTTGACTGTCTTATGTAGCGCTGAATCATTGAATTTCTTCGCTTCATCACCATTCTTGAGTGTTCCAAGGACAATTGAATCCTTAGAATCGCTGGAAACCTTTGATTTCTTCTCCTGCCCATCATTCTCAACCGTTGCAGATGCTATGGAATCCTCATAGTCGTTGGATTCTTTCGCTTTCAGACCATGGTCGACTTGCACAAGTAGCAGGAAATCCTTGGAATCCTTGGGTTCTTTAGTTTCATGACCATTTGTAAGTATCGCAAGTGCAGTAGAATCCTTGGATTTCTTAGCTTTCCGGCCATTCTTAGCTGTTCCAAGAGCCATGGGCTCATTGGATTTCTTGAGTTTTCGGGGATGCTTCACTGGCGTAAGTTGCAAGAAATCCTTGTAATCCATGAATTCCTTAGCTTTCCGACCATTATCAAGTATTTCCAGTGCAATGTAATCCTAGAATTGCTTGGAATTCTTTGATTTTATATGTCTTCAACCATTCTTGACTGTCGTAAGTGCTGACAGAGATGGAATCGTTATCAGTATTGTTGGTCAAAAATTCAGATCGGTTCCATCTTTGAGTGCTGGATAGTCGGTGGAATCTTTGCAATTTCTTGATCTCATCGCTTAGACGGTATTTTTGACTTACGGAAATTCCATGGAAGGGTTTGAATTATTCGATGCCTCAACTTTTCTGGCATCGTGCTGAATGAAATATCCAGCGGAACGCTTCGTGTTCTTGGACTTCATAGCTTGCATATAATGCTTGGTGTTTCCTTATGAATAGGGAATCTTGAATTTCTTGCATTTTTTATTGCTCCAATGATCTTGCACTGTCTCGGATGGATTCTATACCTTTGAATTAGTGAATTTCATAGATTTCTATGGGTGGTTAGTGATCTAAATGTATTGGAAGGCTTGGAATCGTTTGAGTGCTTACTTTCCTCATTATGCTCGAGATTCCTAAAGGACGGATTGGTTTGGAATTATTAGATTTGTCAGTTTTGCGAGAAGCCTTACATAATTTAATAGTGTGGAGTGCTTGGACTGCTTTTCTTTCTTGCTTGTCTAATCGTCGATACCCGTCATTAATGAGTTCTAATCCTCGAAGTATTCTGTTTTCTTGAATTCTTGTAGAGCCTTCACATAAGTGACTTGGCTGGAATAGTTGGATTTCTTCAAGTTGTTAGATCCTTGAGTATTTCTTTCATAATTGAATTGCCGGAATCGAATTGTGTGCTTGAATTAGCTCATATAATCATCGTCATTGGCAGCCTCTAATTGTTGAGTCGGTCGTTATTGATGGATTTTGTGATTTCAGAGGAGAATTGATGGTATGGTTGTTGATGTATAATGTGTGTTTGAATGGGAATGTAGGCGAAGGTGTGTATGTTGGTGCGGCTTGTTATGCATCTCGAGTTCGATGATTATTCGTTTCGCTTAGAGTTTTGATATGAGTGGATTTACGTGCTTGTTAACGTATCTGATGCTATGAATGAGTAGTATTATTGCAGCCA